TCTCTCTCTCTCTCTCTCTCTCTCTCTCTCTCTCTCTCTCTCTCTCTCTCTCTCGCTCTCGCTCTCGCTCTCTCTCTCTCTGTAATAGTTATTTATTCTGCGTGATGTCGTCTCTCTAGATACGTACTAATGGTGATGGCCATTTTGCACGATACCCATCTTTAAATACGTAATAATTTGCCATTGCTCATGTATATCTTTGCTGTGTGCGACTTTACCGTACTGTAACCGAGTGTTTATTAATACCCGTTGTAGTCTATTATTTATTCATATTCCAGTAATTTAATCTACTGACCGTTTCCCTAAACTAGACGCGTTAAGTCCCATAATATTTTGCAGATGACCAAACTGGAGACGCGGTTGGATAACATCTTATTGAAACTGGAGGTCCCAACAGAAACAACCGAACAGCCAGCAAAGAAGGAAAAGCAGGCGCCACCTAGCAGTAGTGTCTATACGTCAACACCCAAACTTGACCATTCGCTAGGTATGTATGTACGCATGTACGTATGTACGCATGTACGCATGTACGGATGTACGGATGTACTCATTACGCATTTTCCCAATTTACGCATGTACGTACGTATGTGCGTATGTACGTATGGACGTACGAACAATTTAGTCGAGTTGCAGAGTAGGGAAATTTGACTGAACATTGCAATCGGGTATATACAAGGTTTTTTTGTGGTTTCCTGATCTTTAGACTATCCTGAACCGGAATCCACCGGGTGCCACTTTGGCACGCTTGAGCAATTTTTTTTATCAAAAAAATGCGGATCGTATATTTTCCTATCTGAGTGCGTATAAATTAAGGGGGTAGGCATGCTAAACTTGCAATAACTTCTATAATACTGAGTCAATCCTGAAATATTTGGTATTGTTTTGCTCATTAAACACTCATGCACAATTGATATTCCACAGGGCATTAAATGATATTGGGGTTCGGTGTTGTTCAGTGATCAGTGTCAGATGAATATCGTCACCCGACGTTCTGTATCAAATGATCCGAGATCAAATGATATCCTGGTCACTTGCGCCTCGCCGAGCGCTCTCTGCTTACTCATCTTTTAATATAAAATAACGCTTCCAGAGTGAAACCTTATATATACCCGATTGCAACGTTCAGTCATTTGGCAACCGGACTAATTATACGTAGCTACGTATTTATGCATATTTAGTGAATTTGCGTAGTATAATAAATATATATAATATAATATATATAGAGAGAGAAAGAGAGAGAGAGAGAGAGAGAGAGAGAGAGAGAGAGAGAGAGAGAGAGAGAGATAGAGAGAGATAGCGAGAGAGAGAGAGAGAGCGCGCGAGAGAGAGCGCGCGAGAGAGAGTGAGAGAGACCGAGAGAGTTTGAATGTGTTTTGATTCTGAGATTTCCTCTTGCGCAGATCCGTCGCTGCCCGACTGGATCCAGGAGCGCTCCGAGCAGCTGCGCGCCGGCCAGGTGGCGCACCTGACAGCGCAGGAGACCGACTTCTGGAAGTCGCTGCTGAAGAAGTACCTGGCTCCGGCCGAGCGAGACGAGGAGCACGAGGCGCGGCTGAAGGCCGAGCTGATCGAGTTACGAAACGTCTGCGCGCTAACGCTCCTCATCGTGAACGTGTTTGCCATGACGATCGTCTTCTTCCTACAGATCAACCCGGACGTGCACATCGCCTGGCCGCTCGACACGTCCGTCAACCTGACGCCGATCGCCTTCGTCTTCATCCTGCTCTACGTGTCGATTTTACTCGTGCAGATTGTCGGCATGATTTTCCACCGGCTCGGCACGCTCATGCACATCATGGCCGCCACCCGCCTCGAGCTGACCTGCTGCAGCAGGCGCGACGCGCCGTCTAGCGGCGAGGCCGACCTGCAGGCGAACGGTGTGCAGTACGTGAAGCGGCTGCAGCAGCTTCGCGGCGTCGACAGCATCACGCCGCCCGACGACGACGCGAGGCGGCCGGCAGGCGGCGCGGCGGTCGCGCACGCCGGATTGCAGCGGCGCCGACAGAAGACGGTGAAGTACGAGGAGGCGTTCATCAAGCGTCTCGAGCATCTTCCCGATGTCGACAACATGGCGCCGACAGCCGGCAGCGTGAAGATCAGCCGAGAGCTGACGATTAACAAGAGCACGGCTTTTGCGATGTCCGTCAAGCGGCGCTCGGTCAAGCAGCCTGCGAGGATCACCTTGTCAACGACAGCGTCAAACCTGCCCGTATAATTACCAACATGTTCTGCTTGCATCTATGACAAATACGACATACGCATATACGCTCTCCTATGACACTATTTATCATAGGAAGATTCTTCCTATGACAAATATTGGCGAGTCAATTTCGTTCTGCTTTACAGCTGAAATTCACTGCTTGCGTTCATAATAGCGCTCCTAAACTCCTATGAAGCGCACAACACATACAACAATATTTGTCATAGGAAGAATCTTCCTATGACAAATAGTGTCATATAGGAGAGCGTATATGCGTATGTCGTATTTGTCATAGATGCTAGCAGAACAGGCTGTAGTCACGTACACGGCTACAGCGTGAAATCCGTGGGCGCGCGTGCGGGAGATGTCTATGAAATGTATTGTGTGTGTATGCGCAATATACATGACAGGGTGCCAAATTCTGACATAGTCTAGATTCATGCACTCGGCCTCGTAATATGCAAATGCTCCTCCGTCGAAAATTCATGCTATGTACATACTTTATGCATGATATATTTAGTTTACATATATATAAATACACATATAGTATGCGGTTACATGGTTATGTAGCTCGTCTATCTCAAATTTCTATCGCTGTAATAGAATAGAAATTATATGCCGTACTCAGCAGGGTTCATGTGGTGCAGGCCGGGCGAGTCGTGTACTACCACTATAGGAAATCCGATTATATGTACCCACCGCGGTTTGTGCTAGCGTTTACGTGGTGTTAAATTCCGTACCAGGCGAGGTCGTTGTCTTGCTAAATTAACGTGCTGTGCTCAACGGCCGTCTCCCGAAAGTATTCGACACGCTTTCGTTGAAAGTATTCCAATTAATTCATCCCTTGCATATGTGAGGATTATGTTAGAAATACGTTAATTACTCATTGTTTGCTTTGTGATTTCATCAACAACAATAGGTTTAGCATATTTAGATAAATGCAAGAATTTCCAACAAGTTGATGCTGCTGCTGTTATCTATATGGCGCTCATGTTGGATTATGCTTGCGATTTGTGCTGCGAATGAAGGCTATCGGCATTGACATTGTCTTTAATTGAAATGATAGTTTAATGATGACAGCTCGATAATAATTATTATATTACTGCCATGTAGTTACGGCGTTGATGCGTAGAACCGATAATCGCGATTATCGTAAAATTCTGTATTTTCTTCGGTTATATAAAATATACAAATATCAAATATTAATAACTAATTATAACAGTAGTCGCCGCTCTTTCGAGACAGGTCGGGACTCTCGTAAATGTCCCCAAAGGCAATAGTCCCAATTAAGCGGTAAACGCATGATAACGTGTATAAGGGTTGTTTTTCAAATATATATGTCGTTTAGTGCTGTTAGTAGTTATATAAGTGCTGTGCCGTTTATCCGAGGCCCGATAAAGCGGGGCCCACTGTATCTATAGTAGAGAAGACATAGTAATATATAATATTTGTAAACCATATTGTCTATTCGTGCACAGCATTTCCTTTTCTAATAAATGGAAAATCAGATGAACGTTTAACTATCCGACTCCTATACAACTATAATTAATCCAGAGCTGTGTTGCCGATTAAGTTCATTCATAAAAGAATAACTAGTGGTAGTAGAATCGGAGTATTCGGCAGAAGGAAAAGCAAGTGCGAGAATTATTTATAGTCTCGAAATTGTGAAAGCGAAGTAAATGTACCGAAGTATATTTAAATACATGTTACAATTGAAAAAAATCGCCATCGCTTGTACAGGCCCGTAGCCAGGGGGGGTTCGGGGGGTTCGAACGAACCCCCCCCCCCAATATAAAGCTGGCTACGGGCCTGCTTGTATAATAATCGTTTCGGCCTATACGGTAAATTTTTATCATAATACTTCTACTATAATTCGTATACATGCAGCTAGCACAATTTTTCTTATAACTTGAAAAAAATTATCAGAACCTGCAGAATAAGTGCTATAACTATTGTCAACATGCATGGTATTTGATAAATCTAGCCTGTATAATCTTACAGCTCGTAAAATAATACCCACGTCGTGTGCAAATGAACACAATGTCTAATTCCACACGCTGATTCTACGCTAACGTTCACCCTATACCCAATTAACCACGCCGCATAGAAGCCGATGATCTTCTCTACGGTATGACGCAACACCACGCTGGCAAAGAACTAATAAATACGCCGTACGTATATACAGCTTTAGGATTAGGCTGCGTATTAGGATATTGCGTGATGTGTGTGAACTCGAATATATATAGTGTGCGAATTTTCGTAATAATTTTCGTTGCTTATCGTTCTACTGGCCGTAGCGGATAAAGGGCCTGACAGCGAGAGACAGGATGATGGCACGATACCACGCTGTGTGCGAGGCGGCTGACGTGCGCTGCCGCACGGCGTACGGAACCCAGTTTCCGGTTCTTAGCACGCGAGCCTGCCCTACATGAGCCGACAACACGGGCTATCTCAGCACGCCGCGCCTTACTTCCTCCGCCGACAACGTGCCTCGTACGCTTAATTTCTACATGCCTGCACTTTTATGTGATTTAATAACGCTCGAGCATGCCACGCCGCTGCTCGTCGCTGAGTCGCACTAAAGACCCTATACCTATATATAGCTATATAATATCAGGAGTTAATAAAGACAAATTTGTCTTTATTAACACCTGATAAGATACAGTGGCGTATCCAGCATAGGGCGGAACCGCCGTACGCCACCCCCCCTTTTGCACGCCCAGAAAAAAGCAATCAAATTTAAAAAAAAAATCTTTTTAGTAGCAGTGGGTGTTCAGGGGTAACGTTAAATTGAACGCCCTCATGCTTCTGTTTGCTCCACAAGGACCTCCCTTTGTAAATGGATAAGGTGGTCAACATCTTCATCAGAAGGAAGCCTCGAAGGTTGCTATTGGCAAACTCCATGGGGGACGCTTAAGGTCCAGAACACACAATCAAGACCTGAACATCTCAGTGGCAATTATTAGTAGGCCTAATTGTCACACTGACTTCTCACCCTGACCTGTGTACCAATCGGAAGTAATCATCAACATGATCAAGTGTGTTTTCCTTTTTAGTGCTATTAAACATGTTAATAGACTTATCAAGTTATATCTTGTGTTGCAATTCTTACCTGTGTTTTAATACATGTGTTATTACTATAGTAACCTAACCTCAGGTGTGTACGCTCTCTGAAAAGTCATGAAATGTGTTTTAAGTCCTAAATTGTAGGGTTGAGTCTAGGGTTGAGATAGTGTCATCAGACATCAGAATATGGCCCACAGTATGCCTCAGATTGCAGGAAAATGGCTTAAATATTTCAAAATTTTCTGGGGGAGCATGCCCCTAGACGTACCCCCCTACCGCCGTAGGCACGCAGGCCTGCATGCCTGCGGCAGCCAGGCTACATTTCGCCCCCTGTTCATAAATTTATGAATACGCCACTGTATATATACATATATATATATATATATATATATATATATATATATATATATATATATATATATATATACATATATATATACATATATTACCTTGCTCATACTCGCGACATCGTGACTTCGTAAGCGTGCATGCGCGCGGTGTATACGGGTGCGTGTATGTGTTTGTGCGCGCGGGTGTGAGGTCGTTCATGTTTATACGCGCTCGTGTCTAGGCGTACGGGGGGTGGGGCGAATGCGCACGTGTGTGCGTGCGAATTTGCGTATGTGTTGGCGCGTGCGCTGGTTGAAAATGGAGATGAGATATCCTGTCGTGGTTCCGTTGCGGATCCCCATGTGAATGAGTCATCGCCGCTCTGCGTGCACTCCCGTCACACTTACGGGCGACGCACCCATGAGCTCTTATGAGAGCGGCACGCCGCGTAATGATCACGGAGCCAAGATGATTCGCATTGTGATATAATTTCATCGATCCGGCTTACGTAACCTTCTCCCGTCCCTCTAATGACGCGCACCCCTTGTTCTTCTCCCTCTTTCACTCTCCCCCTCCGTCCCTCCCCCCCCTCTTTCTATCTCTCGCGCTCTCTCTCTCTCTCTCTCTCTCTCTCTATACTTCATACCTCTCATTCTCCCTTTCTTTCTCCCTCTCTCTCGTTTCCCTCCTTCTCCTTCTCCCTCTCTCTCCCTATCTTCCACTCACTCTCACTCTCATTCTCCCTCTCTGTGCTCCTCCTTCTCACTCTCCCTCTCCCAACCTCTTACTCTTTCTCTTCCTCCCCCTTCTCTTTCTCCTCCTCCCCTCTTTCTCTCCTTCTCACTCTCTCCTTCTTTATGCATCCGTCCACCAATGTCTCTCTCTGTCCCCCTCTTCCTCCCGCTCTCGCTCTCTCCTATCCTCCTCTCTTTCTCTATCTCTCCATATCTCTCTCGCTCTCTCTCCCTTCCGCCCGCTCTCGCTCTCTTTCCCTTCCGCCCGCTCTCGCTCTTTCTCTCTTTTCCCCTTCCTCTCTTTCCCTCTTTCTCTCTCTCTCTCTCTGTCTCTCTCTATATTCCTCCCCCCTCTCATTCTCCCTCTCCATCTCCATCCGTCTCTCTCTCTCATTCTCCCCTTTGCAGTTCCTTCTCCCTCACCCTCTCCCTCTCTCTCCCCTCCCCTCTTTCTATTTTTCTCTCCTCCTCTCTCTCTATTTTTTATGCATCTGTCCGCCTGTATCTCTCTCTCTCTCTCTCTCTCTCTCTCTCTCTCTCTCTCTCTCCTCTCTCTCTCTCTCTCTCTTTCTCTCTCTCTCTCTCTCTCTCTCTCTCTCTCTCTCTCTCTCTCTCTCTCTCTCTCTCTCTCTCTCTCTCTCTCTCTCTCTCTCTCTTTCTCTTCCTCTGTGTCTGTCTGTCTGTCTGTCGATCGCCGTATGCCTATCAGCCTATCATTCCGTAGGATTCCGCGAGACAGTCGCACTAGAGTAAGACTGTCGCGCGCATCAGACGGGGTGGGGCGAGTGGGAGGAGCTCTAGCGCTAGTGCGGAAAACAATCTCAGTTCCTCGCGTCCGCGATTCGACCAACGCGATTTCCCCTCGCGGAGGAAGTTCCCGTATGCTTACCCATCCGTCCGCGTAGCTCGGTCCGCGGACCCTGCGTGCCCTCGCTCACATCCTGCTGACGCAGTTGTCGACAACCCGTACTCATCAGTCTGAGTTGCGAGCCGTAGCGACGCGGGTTCATACACGATTACGCGCTGCTAAGCGGGGGCCCTTTAATATCGTTGACCACAAACTTCGACGTGTGACGAAAAATTTGCAAACAAAGCGATCCGGTTATCACAGCTAAACGACGGAGTTCAAGCGACGAACAATTTCAATTGTGCGACAGTCCCTGCACGTTGAAAGCGATAAAGGCGCGAGTTCGCATTGTTTCTGCTATACTGTGACGTATAGTGACGGGCATTGTATTTTTCGTTCCCTCGATCTGCCGCGCGCTGTACGGTCGCTCATTTTTGCCAGCGATTGTGAAGAAGAAGAAGATAGCTGAGTAGGCTAATTGCTGCACTACGTGACAGTGAACGTGAAGCTTAGCTATCTTGGCTATAGATGGCCATGGATGATTTACCGCTAGAGAAAGAAGTTCGTCACGCAATCGGAACCTCAACATCGCCACAGTAAGTTTTACTCGTAGTTGTAGGTACTCGAGGACAGTTCCAGGGGTTTGAGAAGACTTTGCGGGGTTCAGTTTTTCCAGGGTCACCTTGTAAGATAGCCCTTATAACCTTATATAAGACCTTCGTCAATATAAAAAAGAAAGAGGTAACACGCCGAATAGGCGCATGAGCAAAATATGGGTTCTAGATATGTGTGCATGCATGCGATAACTATATTAATTATTACTGTATTGAGTCCAAAATGCGTGCAGACGGGCGACTATCGAAGTGAAATCACAGTGGCGAGTGCGGGGCTCTCCCCCAGACCCCCGGCCATTTCTTGAAATCCCACTACTAAATATAACATTATATCCAAATATTATGCAACTATTTGCAAAGTTATTTTATACCATAATTTTAATTCTCAGTTTTTGATATTTATAGTTTACGGAAAAAACAGTTCATGAGAAACAGCTATAGGCTACCTATGTTCTAACTCCGTATTAATCTACAATCTGTTAATTTATAAGTATATAAGAATTCGTGACCATGGCCAGGCAGTCTTCGAATCGACGCCCGAGATGTGTAGAAATCTCGGCGGGCATGTAAACATTGCAAGCTCACTTGTCCAACGGACTCCTGCTTTAAAAATGCATGAAATATAATGAAACTGGGTTTTAGTAAAAGGTTTTTTTTATGAAATAATGAAAGGAAGGGGGTTTTAATTTAAAATCACGAAATGTTAACACCAGAAACGAATATGGCTTTACTCGATATTCCAAAAATATTCCTGCAAAATATATGGGCAGAATGTCATTCGGGCATGTACATTTTACATAACACAGTGGCTTACAAAAGTTTTCGTGAAGACTGACCAGGTGGTAGGGCTCATAGGGTCTATGTCTCCCAGGGTACTACCAGAACGTACCCTGGGTACGGTCCGGTATACCGAAACGTACCCTGGTCACTATTTGATATGGTTAGGATTAGGGTTACGGTTAGGGAGTAGGCGTAGGCGACTCCCTAGACTCGTTAGTAGAGTAGGCGAGGTACGGTCCGGCATATTAGATAGTACCATGGTACGTTCTGGTATACCGGACCGTACCCAGGGTACGTCCCGGCAATACCCCGGGGGACATAGACCTTCTCAGCGGTGGTAGGCCTACGTCGTATACATGCACTGTACTGTCTAGAAGAGTATTTTCGTAAATATGTAGGCGTGATACAGAACATATTTTTACGTGAGCATGAGATGTGTTAGTTAGTGGCCAGATGCAATAATTTCCATGTGTTATGCGGATTAATGATTGCCTGATTATGCCTGATTTTCGGATTAATTTAATTTTAATTAATTTTAATAATTTTAATCAAATGAAAACTACCTCCGTTACGAATGCAAAATTGATCACTGACAATTACAATTTAGAATGACCGATGCGATGACTTTGGACGACACCTCGTCGTCTGAATACCTTTCATCCATCTCTGATCAGAACGATGATAGCGACAGACTTGTTTACGAAGAGCACCTGCCAGCTACCGGAAGCGATGGTACAGGAAGCCGGCCGCCCGGCTACCGGAATACGTCAGATGTGTTCCTGCCCGACCGCTACTTCGCGGAGACGGCTGCGTTTCCGTACCTGCAACTGAGAAGCGAGGCCCACTGCGACATTCAGAGAACCCCAGCTGCTGCTCTCGTGGCACCGCCTGGCAGCGTCGACGGACGCGCCCGGCGCAGTGGCTCTTCCTGCCTGTCCAATCCCAACCACATAGACTGGTCCTCGTACGAGGATCTTGTCAAGCCGACGTACTACAACGGCGAGATGTGTTTCGAGGTAGATTGCGGCAGCAACAAGGCTGTGCTTTACCTATCAAAGCTCTGCCAGGGCAGTAAAGGCCCCTGCATTCAGTTCAACGGCTCGTGGCTGACACCGAACGAGTTCCAGTACGTGAGCGGACGAGAGACGGCCAAGGACTGGAAGCGCTCTATCAGACACAATGGCAAGAGCATGAAGCTGCTGCTAGCAAAGGGTATCCTGTCGACACATCCGCCCCTGTGCGACTGTGAGGGGTGCCGAGTGAGCTCGCCGGTCGTACGTATATACACAGATATGTTCGTTATATATTATTATATAATTATATATATAAATTAATATTTTAATTATATATATAAATTAATATTTTAATTATATATATAAATTAATATTTTAATTATATAAATTATTATACATTATATATATTATTATTATATATAAGTGTAGGATATCCGAAAGGTTGATCGGAAGATGCGATGCCTCCGTTGTGCGGCATAATGACACGTGGTTTTGTTGCGCGGGTAAACGGTCGTAACATTAATAGTTTAGTTAACTTAAAGAGTTTAGTGTTAACTAGTGGCGATATATATATATATATATATATATATATATATATAATAGCTAATAATACCTTAGGTATTTATTAGCTCTTGCTAGATAATGTGTCTGGTTTGCACGACACGGCATCTAGCATGTGCCGCCATCTATATACCGTCATCCGCTGTTGCCGAGGGCGTTACGGAGGTAGCAAGCATGGAGCGCTACAGTCGCTGCTTGCTGCGCATGAGTCGTCTGCTTGTTGTTTACTAGAGCTAGCTAATACATGGAATTAATTTGATCACACACGTTTGTTTACGCCCCCGCGCATTCAACTCATTCTGCGTCCGCCTTACTGAACATTCACCCAACAACGTGTTTACTAGCTCCCAGGCTCACAAACATATATATGGCTTCTGAGTAATACCTACGCGAGCTTCGAAAAACGCGGTTAACATGTCGGAATCGTTGTTCACAGAACAGGGGAAGGCTGGCGGAGAAGAGAGCTGCCCAGGCGCAGTCAGAGCCACGTGAAGGGGATCAGACAATGATGAGATGCGGCGAGGAGGCGCTCACGGTGCCTGAAGCTGGTCGCCTGAAGCACTGCACCGCCCCGCCAACCATCGGCAGCCACAGGTACGTCCTGTTCTGCTAGCATCTATGACAAATACGACGTACGCATATATATACGCTCTCGTATGACACTATTTGTCATTGGAAGATTCTTCCTATGACAAATATTGTTGTATGTGCTGTGCGCATCATATGAGTTTAGGAGCGCTATTATGAACGCAAGCAGTGAATTTCAGCTTTAAAGCGAAACAAAGTGGACTCGCCAATATTTGTCATAGGACGAATCTTCCTATGACAAATAGTGTCGTAGTAGAGCGTATATATATGCGTATGTCGTACTTATCATAGATGCAAGCAGAACATGTTGACAGGTACGTCACGCGGCGTGCAGAGATGCTTAGATTTCAGATTTACAGCTGTGTGCGCCATAAGCACGGTACTGCTATACACACGATGAACGATCATGTACATGAAACACGACTATTTACACACACACACGTATAATACTACTAGGTGAGATCTTGGGAGAAATAATACTAGGGGAGCTAGTCTTCCACTGCTAGCTGCCTCGTTAACAATGGACCTGTCGCCCTGCGCTGGAATTTTTGCATTTTTGCATTTTGCATTGAATTTTTGGAATTTTATCTTATTTAGTGAGTCACGTGTACTCAATATTAACTTTATGCAGCCCAACTCTACTAAACTGTGCTACATATGTGTGCGCGTGCGTTCGTGCGTGCGTGCGTACGTGCATGTGTGTGTGGGTGGGGGGGGGTCTAAAAAATATGTTCAGTCAATGAAACATTAACCTGAAAACTCAATAAGCGTAAAAATTTATGCGTGACTGCAGACCGTTAATGCTATGTTGCGACACATGCAGAATTTTTAATTTATATAAATACGAGATTTTGCAATCAGCAATCCAAAAAAACCAGCAATTCACACAGTATCATGTAATACCTTTTGCAGCTGTAGAAATTAGGTAGAAATAATTGACGTTCGTGTTCGATAAAAGTATCGTTAAATAATGACTATTTTTTTTTAACAAACCCGCTGTTTCAATACAACGATCGGCGAATTCAGTGTCTAGTGCTACACGTCACCACACAGATCTATATAGATTTATGCGGTTTTATCATCAGATATCGAACAAAGATTGAATATTTGCATAGTGTTGTACTAGTACTATGATATCAAATTTTAACGACAGGGGGTTGAATAATTACATTCCATCCGCCGCCATTTTTATTTTTCCCAGCAGGACGTAAATATTTTGAGTAGGCCTACATTCGAGTTCATATACGGACACGAAATGGCAAACAAACACGCGCTGGTTCGATGCAGTATCAGGATGGGTTTTGCGACTATTTCACAGATTAGCTAGCATCATCGATCACTTGCGAACGAGCCAACAGAAGCAGATCTACCAGTCGCACTGCAGCGCCCAGGATCATCCGTTGAATCTTGCAGTGACAGCAGGTGACATCTCGTTACGTTATCTAACTGACGTCAGCCTCTCTGACTTGCATTACGTCATCTATCAGAGTATACTGAGATTCTTACTTAGTCTGTATATACTTGCTAATGTATGAGAGAGAAAGCGATGCTGATGTCATCAAACCTGCCTTCGCATTAACCATTTCGGACGATCGATTGATTTTTTGTTATTTTGTTTAGTATGGTTATATATTATCGCCAATAAGATACGATATTATGCCCATCGGGCTGACAGCCCTATAACCTACGACAGTTAAATAGAACCTCGGCAAAGATGTAGACCTATATAGGCTGTCATTCGCTTCGTTGTTAGGGCGAGCCGCTATACAGTTCAACAGCATATTATACCGCCGCGAGGGATGATAAAAAAAAAAACGAAATGTTCTGCGCGCGTGATATCGCTCCTGAGTATCCTCTATAGAAAATAAAAGTTACGAGCGACGTTACATGCGTCGCATGCGTATCGCTTGCATACGCAGCCAAGGACACGCGGCGGCCTTACGTTTAACTAATAGCTGGTTCATTGATATCGTTGCTAAAGGCAAGACACGTACACCGCGCGCGCATATAATATCGTACAGCGAGCGGTACGATCGTGGTTAAAAGCTTCAAATATATGTAGTTATTATCGAATGATGATAATTTACAAACTGTAAAGCGTCTCTGATCACGTCAGTCAAAGATCGTTGCCGTTCTTTGAACATCCGCAAGTTTTCTTTACATTTTTCCTCACTTTCCACGGAGCCGTCGGTAAATAGATGACACGGGAACCGACCGAGTGTGCGGTCAGCGCAATAGCCGATGAGTGTCTGGACATGCCGGACTGGCTTATGCCTGCATAAAAATATATTGTTTTTGTGTTCTCACATATTGCGTGAAGTGAAGTAATATCACTGTCATTACTACATACTTGTCCCTTTCTAATTTGATGCAATGGAGAGAAAAAACAGGAACCTGCGCAGCGTAATTTCCACCGGGACAACGTATATACGTTACCGTGTACGGTCACGCTTCCGTTCGTTGCCCCGTCGCGAAACGGAAAGTTCGCGAAGAAACAGCTTGTTGCGTAGGCGTTGCGAGCGCCCCTGCAGCGCCAGGTCACACGCCAGGTCACGCCGTAAATCAGCAGTGGCGCTGCGGTCGTAATTCCCCCCCCCCTGCTTCCACTCACCGCCGCCACCCCGCGAATTTTTTTTTCACAACACAGTTCGCCATGTTTATGCGCAAACTCCGCGACAGATGGCGCTCTCGCTCTGGCTCCTGAGCATAAATAGCACATTCAAAATTGTAAATTCATATATGACTCGATAGAGTAGCGGTTAGAGATCCAGCGTCAAGTATGGAAGGGTTGTGGATCGAATCCCATCCGTTTTCTAATTATTTTCCTGTTTTCTGTATTTTCCTATCTTTATTCGTTTAACATTTTTTCCCCGATTAACGCAAATATTTACATGATTTATTTACAACATTTTAATGACAACAATTAATTTTTACAACAATTAAAAATTAAATTTTTTATATATATTTTTAAATAGGATTTGGGTGAGGGTTAGAGTTAGGGTTAGGGTTAGGGTTAGGGTTAGGATCAGGGTTAGGGTTAGGGTTAGGGTTAGGATCAGGGTTAGGGTTAGGGTTAGGGTTAGGGTTAGGGTTAGGGTCACAATGCAGTGAATGCACCATAAAACATGAGTTTGAGGCACGTGATTTGTATCAACCAATGGCAGCGCTCGCTAGAGCCCTATGTGCTTGATTGACCTAGGAAAAAAATACACGCGCGCCGGTCGTAATAGTAGCTTTGTTTTCATCGGCGCGTCTCACCGGACGTATTGCTAATATAACGTATATATATATAGTATATAACGTATATATATAACGTATTGCTAATAAGGGGAAGTGACGTCAAGTGTCTGTTCGCGAATAACATGGCGAACTGTGTTGTGAAAAAAAAATTCGCATCCGCGCTTAACATGACAGTGACGCAACAGCGCCATCGCAACTAACAGGGCGTGCCCGCGACTGACAGAATCTAGGCCCAGCAAGTGCAGCCCCCGGACGCCGAATCAACTTGTGACGAGACATACGCCATCCGGGCAAGGCAGGTTTTCTGAGGCTTGGCCGTGTCGGTACGGGGTTTTGGATTTTCTGAGGGGCAGTCAGCGACAAGCAAAAACAGATCGGTTCGCGATTGATATGGGCAGCATGACAACAACCGACGGCAAAATACCCCGTCCACATTAAATTCGAGCCCTGCGGTTTAACTCGCGTCTCCAAACCCAGGACCCCTAGGAGCGCTGGTATTTCTCGGGTTTTTTACTACTGTTTTCATCTTTATTGATTTACACTACATTCCTTTGGCAGCGAAAAGCTAAACCAACACGGAGCACATTCACCTCTGGCATCGCATGCAGCCTGTAACAGGTTCGTTGCATTACAATCTAGTAGGGCGACAATTCGTTCCTCTGTCTTCACTAATATAATGTATTTTGATATTTCGTTAGGGTCGCTTTTTTCCTCTTCGCTCTGCGATCTACGCCGGATCCTCCCGTCAAAGTAAGGTTTCTATCGGCCAAAAGTATTTTCGCCTTCTCACTACCACATCTATTTGTGTCTTAGGGTATGTGTCACTTCTTGCCTGTGGCGTTTAAACCCTTCGCCTACCTTAAATCTCGCCCCTAGCTACATGATTTGTGCCCTCGCAAGAGCTCTGCGTCCACATACACTGATCGACGTCAACGATACGAGAGAGAAACAAATTTAGTTATTCGGTAACGTAAGAAGATATACTCTTCCTAGACTGGTTAAACCCATATATAATAAATACAAACACCACAGCCGGCAAAGTAGATCACCTTATTTACAACAAGTTTCCTACTTATACTAGGGTTCATATTTCATTTACCCCCCCCGGCGGGGGACTAAGAGTATATAACCGTGAACACTATTCTATGTTATTATCTGACCCCCCTCATCTCTACCCCCAAACTTCGCTAAAGGTTCTACCAATAAACTTCGTAGCCGCCCGCCGCCCCCTGCCGGGCCTGAGGTACAGCCAGCACTCCGACAGCTCTCATAATAGAAACACTACCTATAACCCTTCGCGAATAATTATTGCCCCCCACGACCCGTTCCTCCCTCGATACTCCTTTCTCCGACTATCTGTTTCTCTCTCGGGACCTCCGTGCCGGCTGTGATTATTACGCCTAATTTATATTAATTATGATCTAGACATTCCGGGTAAACTCGCTCACACCCCACCCAAATTCAGACGTTCGCCTGGTGGGGTTCTTCTAGCTCATGACGTTGTACGTCACCAATCCAATCAACATTGAAGACGTTTTGCATCGGACGTAGACTATAATTTGGATGAGCACCGTACACCACTGGACCGAAAAGCGTGTAGCAATTCGAACCTCCAACATTAAATCACTTAATTCCTGCCTTTATCAGGTTCCATGTTCGCTTATTAGAATTTAGATTAGGCTTATTAACAGTTATTCCTATTCCCCAATATGCCCACCAACCAGGATACCAGAACAGATTTGCCTAACTAAAGACCACCGACGCGAGAAAAACGGCGAGCGCGAGACAATCTATAGATCGGCACTCTTCTCGCTGGGTCTCAAATCCGCCCGCCCAGCGTCCGCGCGCGCCGAGAACCGGAGGCCGCCGAAAAGGTATGTGTTTCCACCACCCCTGCCGAAACTCCATAGAGCATTTGGATTTCTCTCCCCCACCCCCGCAGGTTTTTTATGTGATATACAAGTCCCCTCCCCCCACCCACATAAAAAGCCTTAATCACACCCTGAGTGTCTCTTTAAACACAAAGTAGAAAAAGGTTAATGTGAAGCACAATCTTTCCCCAAGTTTACCAATGTATCCCCCCCGTAAAGCCTTTAACACAACCCTAGGCCCCCGCCGCAAACTTCCTCTTCATCCCACTCTTCTACACATGTGTGGGTATGAATCTCTCTCTCGGTTTTTTTCTACATGGGCCAACAACGTGATCTATGTGCGACCAATCGTTCTACTATACTGGACCTTAGCCAGTTTTTTAAGGAGCGCGCGCGTTCAGACATTAACATTTGTTATTCTCACAACCTAGACCATCGGCTTACTTAACTGAGGAAAAGGCCACATGAAGGCCCCGCCTCAATCCCTCCCAAACTACCCCCAAAATATTTCATACCTTTAGAAATAATTAAACAATAAAACAAAAAAGCACCACAAAAGCACAAGCTCCTCCCCCACTGATTCGCATTTCGCGTTCATGCAAATGATACTTTTTATTTAGACATAAATAGAGGTGTGTTGGGCTAGTAAACAAGTAAATGAACGAGTTTACACAATATGTCTCGGCCGTATGTCGATCTCCGGGGGATAGACCTGGTTTTTTTATTGTTAAAAAAACTTGGGACAAAGACAAACGCGTTTAAAAATACAAGACATTTCAGCATTCTCGCAAAAATGGGTGTCCCCGCGAGATACTTTGGTGCGACCCCCCGGAACAGTCGCAGTAGTCATGTGTCGGATGCCCGGCAATATTGCTCACCCCAAAGAGTCCTATTGTATTGCCACCATTCGACCGCCCCGTACATTAGGGGGTTCATAAATTAAAAACTCATCGCCAGCAGCATTGGTTTTTCCCCCTCGCTATAGCCCCGTGGTGGTAATTTAATTAAACCTCTTTCCCTTTACCCGGGCTTGTTTTTACACCAAAACAAAATACAATGGGGCCCCCGAGTGCCCTTTGCCCCCTTTCAAAAATAAACGGGGCACACCCCCCACCGTACGGTTTTATCGATCGTTAACTGCCGGCTGGCAGCGAAGCCAAACGTTTATAGTCGTATTGAGGTTGTTGCCGAAGGCCCGTAGAAACTGAGCTCCTTTTCCAATAAAAAACCCCGGCCGTTTCGCCAAGTCCCCCCGACCGATCTCGGGCGAAACCATGTTTTTTGGTAATCAACGTCTTGGCTAGATCAGTG